TGGTCTCGAACCAATTCCTCTCCTACAGTGATCGCAAGGTCTTCATTCTCACAGTCCCTGCATCTGCCTTCCAAGACTTGGGTACTGTGGTCAGAGCCTTTGGCAGTGAAGACCGAGGCAAAGAAGTCATTCAGAACCTCAGCCTTCTCCAAATCCTGCGTAGCCAGGTCTCCTGAGAGCTTCTTGAGGGGGCCTACCTTCTCCCTAGTCTGTTTTTTATTTGCTATGTACTTGTAGAATCCCTTCCTGTTATCTTTAATACCTCTAGCTAAGTTTAATTCTAATTGAGCCTTAGCTTTCCTAACCTGGTCCCTAGCTTCTCAGACAACATCCCTGTACTCTTCCCATGCCACCTGTCCTTGCTTCCACAGCTCCTTATCCATCCAAGGAGGTCTCCTGGCCCTCCTGCTGCACTTCCTTCTGGTTGGGATGCAACACTCCTGAGCTTGCAGCAGGTGATACTTGAATATCAACCAACAGTCTTGGGCCCCTCTGCCCTCTAGGGCTGTATCCCATGGAACCTTACTAAGCAGGTTCCTGAAGAGGCCAAAGTCTGCTCTTTTGAAGTCCAGGGCAGTGAGCTTGCTGCACGCTCTTCTCACTGTCCTGAGGATCTCAAATTCGACCATCTTGTGATTGCTGCATCTAAGGCTGCCCTGGAGAGTCACATTTCCAACCAGCCCTTCCCTGTTGGTGAGCACGAAGTCAAGCATGGCACCTCTCCTTGTCGGCTCCTCTATTACTTGCAGAAGGAAGTTGTCTTCCACACAATCGAGGAACCTCCTGGATTGCTTGTGCTGGGCCCTACCATCCTTCCAACAGATGTCAGGGTGGTTGAAGTCACCCATGAGAACAAGGGCCTGCGAGCGTGAGGCTTTTCCTATCTGTCTATGGAGTGCTTCATCCGCAGGCTCTCCTTAATCAGGCGGTCTGTAACAGATCCCCACAGTAATGTCTCCCATAGCTATATTCCCTTTAACCCTGACCCACAAACTCTCTGTGGACTGCTCACCTGTCCATCAGTTTCACATTTTCAAGTGTACCAAAAGCCACCTGTGTGGGTTACAAGCAGTTTAGGGTTGGAGTGTGGAATAAGCTGCCCATGTTGACATAACCATTACTCATTATAACCATGTTGATGTAGAAATTACCAAGTTCAGCTTCTTTAATTTCAAATCCTCATTGCAGAGGCTATGTAATGGGAGGAAAAAGAGAACTGGACTCAGTGTACAATGTGTTTTAAAGAAATGCGTCATATCGTTTGATTTCTAAAGGGTCTCTCACAGCTTATTCCCTGCATTTTTGTGACAGTCACCACAAACATTGGCATGAGACTGACTTAGGATAAAAATATGAAGAAGAGAAATGAGTTTTCTCAGAAAGGTGAGTGCCCTGTCAAAATCCCTTTGCAATCCACCTGCAGTCGGAAGGCTTGCTTGTTAAAGTAACTGTAGTTAAATAGCTGAGTATGGACTTTATCTCCTCCTCCTTTATAGGCCAAAATATCCCCTATCTAAAAGGATGAGGAAATAATTTTTTAATCACAGTCAAACTCTTATTCATAATATAAATCAGTAACGACTTCCTGTGGCAAAATTTTTCCATGTAAAGCTCTGGGATAACTGTAATGGATGGTGATAGATGTTGGTCCTCAAATAAAGACTTCTGTTAGGACATTTATCCTTGGGACCTTCTGTTTAGCAACTCTTTTGATCTGTTATCAACCCACAGCTCTCATCTCAGAGGCTCTTCAATGGGATATGTCTGCTCTTGAGCACTTCTTGAATAATAATTTATCTCATAAATTTCAGAGTAAAAAAACCCCTACTTTTCCTAATTTGGCCATTTATGCATCTGGCAGCAGAGATAAAAATAGCATGATGTCATAATATTTGGAAAATAAAAGAATAAAAAAGAAGGTGACTTTTAGTAGCCAAGAATTTTTTTTGCCCCATTCTTTACAAACAGGACAAATAGGGTACTGATAAGTTATAAAAATTAGCATCCTCTGGCAAAGCCAACTGAGTATGAAGCACAATGTTGAATAGTAACTGTCTTGATAGTAACAGAAGGAAAACACCTTATTTTTCTGAGTACTATATTTACCACAGTCAAATCTCTATTCGTCCATTACTCAAGAAAGACTACATTGAAAAGGAATTTTCTCTGAATTGCAGAAATAAAGATTTGGCCATATGTAGAAAGATAATTTTCCAACTTCATGAACTCAAGTTCTGATTAAAAAAAAATAATTCTAAATTTTCAGCAAATGGAGTTTATTAAAAGCATTCAGTCTCATAATCTATATTGTCAAGTTAATACATGTTATGAGATTAAATCACTAGAATATCTCTAGTTTGAGGAAATATCTTCCAACTTCAGTCATAAAAGAACTGTATTAATGCAAATATTTGGATTAATTGATGATGGGGTCGTTTAGTATCTAACAGCAAAGAAGAAACCTCAGACTAAATCTGTTAACACTGGGTGAAATCTTGAAGTCATCACCTGCTCTTTGCAGCCACTCCCCCAAATGTTTATACACATAAGTACTGACTAATAACTTCAAGATTTAATCTGATGTTATTAAAGTTTTTGCTGATTGTTTATCGTGTCTAACCAGCTTATGTAAATGCTCTAAGCTTTTACATCGTCTGTAATCGTCATGCACTAGATGAATTTATAGGTTACCTACAGGCATGCGTCTTGATTATAAAATGAAATAATCATCTAACTTCAAAATTTTTTGTAAAAATAAATGTATCAATGTATTTTAAAGCATCCAAATTTTTAGACACAAATGTTAAAATAATGTTAAAATCTTAAATATATAGTTATTAAAAATATTTTTTCAAATACTTTTCTTCTATGTTTTCATACATTTAATAACCAAAATCTGTAGTAAAAACCCAAAAGTTTTCTTGACATGTCCTACAGAATACTTGTTAATGTGTAGTGAGAAAAATACAGAGAAAACATGCTGGTACTTTTAATGTGAAAACCATATTAAGACATTTCACCTGTCACAAGGGGTAGTAGAATATGATTTGTTGTAAATACAAAATTATTGGAATGGGCCAGAAATTAAATAGAAAAGGCTTTGATAAAGGTTGTCTTTACAGACATTTAGTACAAGTACAGTTATTGGTAACGTTTGTATTTCCTTTCATTGGTGAGTATCACAGTTATTAAAATGGTGTTTGGTAGTCTGCTGAGGTTCTGTTATTTTCCTGGCATACCAAAAGATTGGAAAGAAAACTATTTGGGAAAAATATTATTACTTCTCTGCCCTAGATCGATGATTATATTCATCGTAGGCATCGGTGTCGTATTGTGCCATCAAGTGACTTTGTATACCACCCAACAGCTCTTCCACGTGGCTCAAGAATGTGCACCAGGGATTATCCCAGAAGGAGAAAAATGCCTATTGAACCAAATACTTCTCCCTTTCCTGCAACACATGAGCATCAGAGCATTTATTGTAGGACACTACATCCAGTGATAGAGAACTCCTTGCAAAATGAGAGGATAAGGAGAGAGATTTCCAGGTGATTGTCTCCTCTAAGTGGAAATACTGCTCATGCATGGTGGTCTGCAAGTGGAAATTATTTTGCATTAATAATTGACGTTGCAACATCTAGTCTGTTTTACTGCCAGATAACCTTGCTTAGTTTGAAGAACCACTGCCGGCAGCTTAAGAGCCATTGGTTTAGGTGAGCACCAAACAGACTGTCTGATCTCTATTTTTTTTTTATAAACGTGAAAAACAACTACTGACATGATCACAAGGGAATAGGAATTCCTCTCCATAAATTCATTTGTTCATAAGCTTTTGACACAGACCATAAATATCCTTCATATAGTTCACACACATGGACACATGTAATAAATTATGTGAACAATGTGTATAAATGTTTACTTTAAAAACTACAAACTAAATATAAAGTGCCATATGAACAACCCATCTATTAGGAAATGGCTAATTTCCTGTGCCAATCAATAACTGTATTGCATGTCTACGTACTCTCTTTGCTATGTCACTGTGCTGGTTACAGTTACAAAGTGATAACAAAGAAAATATTAATCAATTGGTAGTGGGCTTGTTTCAGCAAAGGTTATGCCAGAAACAAAGGGAAGGGGAGGCTGAGATCTGGCTCCAGGAAAAGGTTTTCCTTGTGTGATACACAAGTCTGAAGTCTGGAAAAGGAGGAAAAAACAAAAAAAAGAAAAAAAGGGAAAAGTAGCCATTTTTTGTGGTTTTTTTTTTTTTTTTAGTGTTTTCATTTAAGATTAGAATGATAATAATAGCAAAAAAAAAACCAACCATAAAAGAATGCAGCAGAATGTTAAAGTCCTAATTCAGAAAATGTTTATGGCAGAGAATAATTGTTCTTCCTCAGTTTTATACCTAAAAACACAGGTATCCTCCAGGAATTAAAACTCAAATACCACCTTGGCTTTTTAAGTTTTTTCCAAATTCCTCTTTGTGCTATAAAACCTGGAAAATATATCCTATCTGATGAATCGGATGCTTGATTTTTTAAAATAATATCATAAAAAATGTTGATGATATTTAGGATAGAAAAATAACTGAAAGTATTATATTTAAGAAAGTACTGGAATTTATTACTTGCTTCAATGTTTGCACAATTTCTTGCTGAAGATTCAGGGAAAGAAAAATGATTAAATTCATAGACTATTCAATTTTGATTTATGTTCAAAATAAAAAAAAAATATTTGTACCTTTCAAATATAATGATGCTGATTTGCATTTACAAAGAAAAGAAAAAGAATTGTTAAACAATGGGTATCAGAGAACCACTTCCACTGCTGGAAATGTCCATAGTACTTTTTTTCATCTTTGTTGAACATACAGCTTCTTTTACAAGAAACTGTCAGTTTGTCCTATTGCCATGAGATAACACAGAGCCAGACAATGGCTAGATATGTCACAAAAAATGCAATATGAGGGTCAAAGAAACTTTCTGCTTTTTCTTTAGGTGACCAGGATGGTGACCTTAGAAAATGCAAGAACAAAATTGGCAGAGAACAAGCAGCCTCCTCCTTTTGACGCATGAGGTAAGAAAACCTGATGGATAAAGGATGTTGCAATCTCAAACATATCCTTCTGAAACAATGTCTGAAGCCATCCATTCATTTCAACTAGAAGAGACCAAACTTTTTGGTGACACATAGAATCATAGAATGATAATTAAGGTTGGAAAGGACCTGAAGATCATCCAGTTCCAACCCCCCTGCCAACTTCGCACTAAACCATGTCACCCAAGGCTCTGTCCAACCTGGCCTTGAACACCAGCAGGGATGGAGCATTCACAGCTTCCATGGGCAACCGACTCCAGTGCCTCAGCACCCTCACAGTAAAGAACTTCTTCCTTATATCCAAGCTAACCTTCCCCTGTTTAAGTTTTAACCTGCTACCCCTTGTCCTATCACTACAGTCCCTAACGAATAGTCCATCCCCAGCATCCCTATAGGCCCCCTTCAGATACTGGAAGGCTGCTATGAGGTCTCCATGCAGCCTTCTCTTCTCCAGGCTGAACAGCCCCAACTTTCTCGCCCTATCTTCATACGGGAGGTGCTCCAGTCCCTGATCATCCTTGTGGCTCTCCTCTGGACTTGTTCCAACAGTTCCATGTCCTTTTTATGTTGAGAACACCAGAACTGGACACAATACTCCAGGTGAGGTCTCACAAGAGCAGAGTAGAGGGGCAGGATCACCTCCTTCGACCTGCTGGTCACGCTCCTTTTGATGCAGCCCATGATACGGTTGGCTTTCTGGGCTGAAAGCGCACACTGAAGCCTGCGCATGTTCATTTTCTCATCCACCAACACCCCAAGTCCTTCTCCGCAGGGCTGCTCTGAATCTCTTCTCTGCCCAACCTGTAGCTGTGCCTGGGATTGCTCCCACCCAGGTGTAGGACCTTGCACTTGGCATGGTTAAACGTCATGAGCTTGGCATCAGCCCACCTCACAAGTGTGTCAAGGTCCCTCTGGATGGCATTCCTTCCCTCCAGCGTATCAATGGAACCACACAGCTTGGTGTCATTGGCAAACTTGCTGAGGGTGCACTCAGTCCCATTGCTCATCTCTCCGACATGCAGCACAAAAGCTGGTTATAACTCTCATGCTTTCATTTTTGCCCCAAAGCAGTTAGAAACAATCAAGATTCAGATTAACTTGTTTTAATTTGAGTTTAGGAAAGCATAAAGTTAAGGCAGGACTTCAAGAACTCAAAGACATTTTGGAGTTGAAACTCTACTGTGTAACATAAATAGATTAGAGCATACACTGACAGGCCAGGAGCAGTACACAATAAAAGATCAGAGAAGGTATGAGAAATAAATCTAGCCAGAGATCTCTAGAAGAGATATCATATTATTAAATTAATTACTAGTGTGAGTGGTATATGTGTAGTCAGTACGATATGCTAAAGAGAGGGGATAACCAGGTTGGATATTAAATTTCCTTGTTCCTTCATTTCTTCTTTTCTCCACTTCATTAGTCTCCATGTCAATGGAGGACTGTTTCTGACCGTACATTTCACTGTAGTTTTATCCAGTTAATGGGCATTCTCAAATTATTCCAGGATGCTGCAGCATAATTCAGTGGATTATGATTTCAAATAAAATTTACAGATTTATCACTCTATTTTCCTTTTCATATTTTCACCTCATTATCTGAATTGACTATCTACAGTGATTGTGATTAAAGATTTAAAATTAACACCAGTTACCATGTCTGAAATACTGAGCTCATACATCAGGATAAATATTTTAATGACAAAACAGTAATTTTTTTTTTTTATTCATGATACTGTTAAAAGCTCAAATATTTATAGATTTATATTAGATCTGCTCATTGTTAGGACATCCAATACTCAAAACTTAACCTTTTTGTAGTGAATCAGCTTCTCTCTTCTTTTACGGTATCTTTGTTTCTAAATTCTATTTCAAGGTCTTTTTTTCACAGGAAATAAAAATGTGACTTTAACAGACTGATGTATGTTATGAAAATGATGGATCAATTTGAGGGATTCAGTAATAGCAAATTAATAGGACTGAATGATCTCCCTCCAGAATTCGCAGGCTAGAAAATTATTAAGTACAGAACGTATAGATGGGAATATACATTGTCTTTTAGAGATAGTAATAATAATATTTAACACCCTATCCCTCTTCTTAGTGATTGAAAGGCACTAATACTGTTAACTTCATGGTTTTGGGTTTCTTTAAAAAAAATGGTGTGAAAATCCCGGTTCATTTTGGTGCTGGGAAAAATGTTGAGCTCTTCCAAAGAATATGATAATGCAGGACTCAGAAGACAATAGCCTGAATTGGCTAAACCAACACCTCTGCTGCAAAAAGGGGCTGAATTAGAGCAAAACAGGTAAAAGTGAGCAAGGAATAAAAACACCTCCAAACCCTGGACTTTCAAAAATCTTATGATAAGGATAATTTAGAAGAACGTTTAAGGAAATAAATTGCTATGTAGGAAGGAGTGACTCCTACGTTGGATTAATCCAGGTGTTATTTTATTATTTGTAGTGCATGAATTGTCTTCTCTCAGCACGATGCTGAATTAAAATTGTCCTAGCAGATGGTTAGGATTGATAATCACCTCTATTGTGTTACTCTGGACGTGTCCATACATCTGACTGGGAAATAGAAGGTAAGAGCTAGCTACTGTCAGTAAGTTGAGGAACTATAAAACTAATTTGGTTAGTGGAAAACTGTTAGGGCAACCAAGATGGCTGTTGAGCTTTGACTGTCTCTGCCAGCACCTTCCAGGGTCCCACACTGCACAGCAACCTGCCTGTCTGGCCATAACCAGGCTGGGGCTGTGTCTGCTCCTGAAACTGATCTTGACTGTCCTGATTTGTCCTGTGGGAGAAGACTACTGAGCCTACAAGGATATCAATAGTGCCAGTGGACACCCATGCAAGACCTGCTTGTGGGGAGGAGTGAGCTAGCTTGTGTTCAAACAATCCCATATTTGAAAGAATAGCAGTAACTCAGTTGCAACTAAATAAGTTTTTTTGGTGGTCTAAACCTGTAAATAAGTCAGACATGGGTGACATATTGTCATGCTAACCACATCTTGTTGGGTATAATAACGCATTCAGGTTTGTTCACCCCACTTTGGGAAGGACACTTTTGTCCTTGGGTGACACACCTTGGACACAGGTTTTACTTAACATGTCAGATTGTAGTGCAAGCAGTTAGACCTCAGTCTGAGACTGACTTACCTTGAATTCACCCAAAGTTTATAAAACAGAATACCAGTTGAGTGGAGGATGACAAAGGACATCTCCTCTGCTGTATGCAGACCCACAGACCAAAAATAAAAGGGCTCATGGATGGATGGAAATCAAGATTAATTCCTCTACCTAGCATGAATTCAAACTGGAATCCAGTGCCATTCAATCAAATATTTTGACTGGATTTTTTAAAAGTGATGGATTAGTTAAAAGTTATTATTCACTGTAACTACACATAAAAACAGATAAATATGTGACTATTTAAGCTGAATGCTCCTTCCTGGCTTCAAAATTGTACAGCTTAGGGCAAAGTTTGTCTATCTAAAAGTAATCAAACCTAATGCTTCATGCTGTACAGTAACCTTCTTGCCTGAAGAGGTCAGGAATGAAATATTTCCCCACACTAATGGGTAAACTCAGTTTTATTTTTCAGCAGTTGACATGTTCTTGAGCTACTTGCTTATTAATGCTGGAAACACAATGTGCCACTGTCTAATTCTTTGTGGCAGGGGTGTTGCTACTCCAGTTAGGAGAATATGATTAACACCCCAGTAAGGAGGGAATAGTTGGTCCCTTTGCATCTCAAGGTGCGGCTCAACCGTTCCTCTGTGGTCCTCCAACTTTCAGTCAGCTTTTCATTTCCTTACACTTTCAGTCAACCCAATGCAATTATTAAGGTACTCTGCAATTCTCTGTGCCCAGGATTTACCCATTAAACCACATCAGGCATGAAAGTGACGCAGGCAGTGGGTAACGGCGGATCTTGTGCACCTGTAGGTACAAAATTCATTGAGTACACCTCTGTCTAATGAGAAAGCACAGGTGCTCTGACAAGAAAGAACAACAAATAAAGAAAAAAGTCTCAATCCTGTCAAATACTATGTGTGTATCAAGGATCTGGAATATAAAGCAGACTTAACAGCAATCACATTTAGAGTAGAATTCACTTGAATGTAACACCTTCTCCTTCTAAGGTTTTGAGCGTGGTATCTTAAAGAAGATCACACAAATTACTCATCGCAGGAACAAAGGCTCTTTTTTGAAAGCTGTCAGGTTGCTGACAGTTATGATTAGCATTTACTTCAGGCTTGTAAAACATATTAATCAAACTTGTTCCTATAGCTTTAGTCCAAGGAGGGTTACTGTTTCTTTTAGATAAATTTTTAACATAAATGAAGAGCTCTGACTATGTATACACCTTGAATGTGAACCATTGTCTATGCCATTCATTTATTTGTAATGAATAAATACTGGTCTATGCCAGGCTTAAGGAAGATTGAAGCAGCATATGGAAATCTGTTTATGACAAGACTATTTGCCAAAGACCTATGCACCATTCACTGAACCTTGAAAAACATTTGAAAATATGGGTTGCATTTGCAAACTTCAATGTATGACATGGAGAGCTGGCAAGCTGCCTGGTTTCTACTTAAAGGATTGTCATTCTGGGAAAAATAAATTTCTCTAACTAGACAAAAGTCAATGTTTTCATGTTTTACTGCAATCAAACTGATATGGCTGACAATTTAATGTCTCAACACTTAAAATAACTGGATAATCAGTTACCTCAATCAATCATAACTACAAGATTTTTCTATTTTCAAAGCTTGTATACACATGACTGAGATATTTAATAATTTAGAGAAACCTCCCCATCTTTAATCCTTCATGATTTCTCTTGAGCTGTGAAGTTCTTTTTTTTTGCCAAATGCATGATTTTATAATTGCTGTGGGGAAAAAAATAATTCCAACCCTGCATTGTAATTATATTTTGAAACCTTTGTGTTAATGTCCTGTTTTATTTAATTTTATGTATATTTTATAGTCTGCTTGCCTGTCAAAAAGATGTGGAAATGTGCTGGCATTACAGCTGAAGACATCCTTATGAGTGAGAAAATGCTCAAGGCTTTTTCAAAGTGGGTGCTGAAACACACATTTCTCATCTTTGGCTCCAGGGGATGCTAACAGCTGGCCCACCAGACAGGTATTTCAGGGTCAAAGGCTAGCAGAGCTGTGCACATTCAGGATTTGGCTGCCAGTAAAGGAAATGGGTATTTTCTCAAAACTAATAAAAATAGCAACAATGATGAGAAGAAGGAGCTGACAACAAAAATGAAAAGGAACCTGCAAGAAGTGAATTCTGGGTAGCACAACACTTGCAGAGCTGATTTTAATATCTGACAGGCTGAGTTCACTAATCTTTGGTATTCATATTGACGTGAAACTTCATACTGTTTTAGAGATTTTATTTATTAAGACATGCAGCAGTGTTCCTACAACATGGGAACAAGTTTGCTAGCATTTGCCATTCTTCTTCCTCTGTGATAAAAATTGGTATGAACTTTTTAAAATGCCTAACAGATAATTACACAACACTCAATAATGAAAGCTACATCTTTAGAGCCTCCTTTATCTTTAAAAAATAACAAAAAAACCCAAGCCCAAAGCTCAGTAACAAGACAAAACCTTTCCCCCCTCATTTTCCTCCCTCTCTTTTGTTTCTTTGATTACTTGGTGCCTTGTAATCAAACTAAGCTTAGTTTTGGGACCCTTGGGGCAGTATCTCTTAGCTCCCTGTCAGACTGAGTTGCAAAACAATCAATCTTGCTCTTGCACTGGCTTGGTGGATGTGTCAGGACACGAGGAGTGCAATGCTTTACTCTTGCTGTGAAGCTTCGATGACAAAAGTTTTTATCAGAAGCTGACTGTATTTAAGATTATGAATATGCAATGACTCTCATTAGTATTGAAGCACAGGAACACGGGCTGACATCCCCCGCCACTTTTAGCTGCTGCAGAGTTGTCTAATGAATTGTCTTGCTCTTTCACTTGAACAGACTTTGCTGTTATGGTTCCCAGCTCTAAGGGGAGTTGCCTGGTTTGAGAATACTATTGATGGCAGAAATCAATTGCCAAGAGCTGCTCTTGATTTTGTTGAAACAGTGTTGAAGCGGTGTGTAAATTTTCAAAACAGAAAACCATTAAACTCTACAGGAGACAAAGTCATCACAGGTGAGAGGACAAGCATACAGTTGTGGTGAAGGTGCACATACGGTCTTGTAATCATACCTATAGGAATAAACATATCCATGTCTAGCAGTGATGGGTCTCAGAAACCTGATGTCCTGCTGATTTATCTATTATTCTTCCAAGTAGAGCAAATGAGGATAACCAGGGCTCTAATACATTCTTATTGGATCAACCCAGTAATACTCTTTCTTTTCCCTTTGGGACCCTGCCAAACATTTTTCAGCTCACCCATCTGTAATGTTTATGAATAAGTTACTGATAAGGATGTTTCCAATGATTAAGATATCTGGCTTGATTTGTCATATTTGAGATGTATAAACTTTCAGAAACAAATGGAAATGACCCTTTTTTTCCCCCCATATGGTTCAATTAAGTATTTTTTCCCTGATTTATTTGAAAATTTTTCTAACATAAAAGGAGCTTTTGTGACTCTCTGCAGAGTGTGAAGGATCGAGTGAATTGAAATGGATAATTTATTCTAAGAAATGTAAGTAGTATTCTGAAAGGTGTATGTGTACTGCAAATAATAAAAGATATGAGGTTCATCCAAGAAGATGTCAGACCTGCATGGCTTTTTATCCATTTAATCAGTAATGGAAATGGTCCCAGTGCAAGGAAGGAAGATCTGTTTAATTTTAATTGTGATTTTTGGCACTGTTGCTCTAACATGAGCTTGGCTTACCTCTTGACCCAACACCAGGATTGTCTGTTCTCATCAACTGGAGAAAAAATAAAGAACATCTACATGTTGGGAGTATCAAATACAAGAGCAGTTTAAAATAGATGCAGTTGTGACAAAAGTGGCTCAAGTATCATACATCAAACACTTGTTACCTCTCTTTGCCTTAGTGATTGCATGTGACTAAGAAAGAGTGAGTGATAAAATCTGAAGAAAGATGAAACCAATCTGGGGCTTTTTAAAGATCATCAATCATTCTGTGCAGCCATGATATTATTAGTTCCAGTAAGCCTTGTTCTCCCATTTTATGAACATCATAAACCCCCCACCCCTAGACCAGTGTTATCATGGGGAATCATTTTTATGGGCAGCATCTTAGTGTAGGCCAATCAGATCTAATCACATAACAAGCTACTGAATTATTCAACGTTCTCCCTAATTTTGCATTCTTCCTGCACTTTGCTGTCACTGCAGGGTTTTAAAAGTATGTGTTTTTACAATATTTATTAAGAATATAACCATAAGCAGGAATTTTGCTTTCTCTATTTCTTCCAATAAACATTTGTTCCTTGGATTGTTGCAGTATATACATTACTATATAAAGAATACAAAAAAAAAAAAAAAAAAAAAAAAAGAAACCCACAGTGTGGCACTCGGCTTTAAATTCTTTCAGCTTTTAAAAGACTGAATGTAAAGACAACAATAGCAAAACAATTGTGTTCAAACATAAAATATTCAGATTTACTGAGCAAACTGTAACCAGCATGTCCCTTAGCTGTTGCTATGAATACAGGGCTTACATTGTATATAAAAATATTTCAGTTTTAATTGCAAATCTGTGCAGAGATGATTTGGGGTGTGTAATTAACACATAAATTCCAGACTTTGTGACTGCTGTGAAAACACACATTATTTATGGAACTATTATCTAAATATAATTCAGCGTTATTTGCTTTCAGCAACTACTGTAAAAGTCTGATTTAATAAAATGTGAAAAATTTCCCATCTCTTGCACTTCTGTTTACATTATGAAGCCTTCATTCCTCTCCACTGCCATTTCCCACTCGACCTGCAATGGACTTTGTTTTCAGTGACTCCATACTTCACTCACACCTCAGGGAGGTTTCTTCACAACCATAAAGTGCCAGGCACTTAATTTTTTTAAAATGAAAATTTGGATTATGCAAATAGCTCTGAACTGCAAAGAACAGTGTGTTTATGTTACCTCCATCCTCATGCTTTTCATCCAGGCTAGAAGTGGGAATAGATAGGGGCCCTGTTTAAGCAGGTTTTAAGCTACCATATGCAGATTTCCAGTTATCTGGACAGGGTTACTGGAAGGACGAAGTGGTCTCTTGCTCCCACACACTTCTTGTAAATTGCAGGCTCAGCCACTTCAAGCTCCCATCAGTGTAAGGTACAACCAGGAAGAAACTTGTCTTCTTCCTCACCAGCAATCCCATGCATTTTCAAAGCTGCTTACTCGCACCACCTGGTTTACAGCAATATTTTGAGACCCTCTTCCATTCCAGAGTTTAAAAGCGTATTTTCAGATTATATAGAACTGAACATTTCCCTTGCCAGCTTCATGTTTGTCTTAAGGTTAAGGGCTGGAGCTGATGGTGATGGGGCTGGGCACCAGCTATGCACTAATACTGCAATGGCAGGTTAAATAATGAAACACAGCTTGCAGTAAAACCAACAAAAATCTGTAATACGGACTTAATTTATATCAGAATGCGACATGCCAGAAACTTTCTGCTTTCTTCCTTTTTTTCCCATCCTCATGGGCCACTCTCTGTATAGTTTTGCTGTCTTTGAAGGAAAATTCTTTCCCTCACTCCTTCTGCATCCCAGCTATGAGACACCTACTACTGCTTTGCTGTCCCTGGCTGCTCAGCAGCTCTGTGCAATGGCAACCTCAACAGCCACCGCAGTAATAATTGCAATAATCACTAGCAGAGTTTCCTTGCATTTCCAAGGGCTGCCTCCCTTTGCATGAAAAGCTTGACTGAAAAAGCATCCCCATGGATGGTAGTGACACCTCCATGCATGTCTGACCAGTTGCCTGTGATAGAGCCAGGCAGGATCTGTGCTCAGTGTACCTCGTAGCCTGGTGTAAATTCCGATTTGAACAGTGATATCAATGTCATGGCGCACATGCTCGGGGAAGGGTGTTACGAAGAGTAATTGAGAGATTCAGCATGAATTCACTGAAAGCTGTAATTTAAAGTTCCAGTACTACTATTACCATTAAAATGTAAAGTGACAGAGGCCCAATTATGAACTGTTATTTTCTTAAATAAAATTGCTTTTTTTTCTTATCCTCTGAGAAGCACTCATTTCTGCCTAGCTGTTGCTGTCACCAGGACCTGTCTTTGTGGCTTCTGCTGTCAGTGAGATGCTGATCCTCCCGCCCCTGACAAGAAACAGATGGACAGGGCAGCAAGGCTGGGAGCTGTGCAGGGGGTGTCAGAGCAGACGGCTTTGCAAGGAGGTCTGCAGCCTGCTTTCCTAGCAAAATTAGGCACAACTTCAGTATTTGAAGGAGACCCCAGCCCTGCCCTCGTAAACTACGAATGGTATCCATGGGCAGAGGAGATACTGAGTATGTTTTTAGCAGGGAAAATGTGTGGGTAATACTGGAGGTCTTTTCTGACAGACAGGTGGGTTAGTAATTGCTATCATTGCTTCCTGCATAATTTTAATGAAAAAATTTGCTGGTTGTTTGCATGACAAACGTTAGCATGCAGTACAGATTATTAGACTGTCTCCTCAAAGAATAATGAAAATTCTCCTGGATATCCATTTGGCTGGTGTTACACTTAGACTTCAGATGAATAGGTTATACTGTCTTTAAAGTGTTAGTGGAACATATGGCATGAAAACTAGGACCCAAGTTCTTTAAGTGGACTCTTGATATTGGTGTGTTTTCTTAATACTTGGAATGGGGAATCACAGAACATAGAGATGCCACAAGGACTTGACCTTTCATATGAGAAAGAAGGTACTTCTTTCTGGGAACACAGAGAATTTTAATGTAGATTGTCTTTGAAAAGTGGTGGAGTTCCATTGTCTTTCACATGCAGACTTCCAAAAGTGAGAGCAGCATTTGGCTCACAGGTAGCAGAATTGTAGTCTAAGAGGTAGAGCTGTCCTAGAAATATCAGCCTGACCATCTGTACATCTGGTGGATGCACACACAAAATTCAGATCAACCAGTTTGACTCTTTTCACTCTCTTGTCAATATAAATCCATTTTAATTCCAGATGCAAAACAAGGAATCCAGTATTTTCAGGTGAGATCAGTCACATACAAATAACCTAGGCAGTCACTAATGAATACCCAGGAAGAAATGGAAGCAGAGGACTTTTTGCAAATCTGACAGAATCAATTACTTCTCCTTACAAGTGGTATCAGAATACTAGGTTATTTTCCCAGCTGCCTGTCAAACAGCTGAACGCAAGAGCATGACATAACATTCTCACCTTCAGTCATGCTGCCAAACAGAATAATATGATGTTTTCCATACATTGGTCATCATCAGCCTGAGCAGTTTTCATTTCTAATCCATTTAACTAAAATGGATGTTTGTCAGAAGAAAATATCTGAGAAATCCCTCAGACCATACTAGAGAGCATTCACAAAGAGAGGTGTAATTTGGAAGCAGAAGGATTTTCTCTTCAAGGCACCTCTGGGGAAGCAGAAAATGACTGCAGGAGCAGAAGACAGGAACACATCCAACAGCTCACAGAATAAACTCTATTTGATAGTCAGGTGTATCTGTGTTACAGAAGAAAGCTACAGAACAGAGCAGGAGACAATCTGGTGACCACAGACTCACAGAACCATAGAATGGTTTGGGTTGGAAGGTATGTTAAAGATCATTTGATTCCAAGCCCTCTGCCATGGACGGGAGCATCTTCCACTAGACTAGGTTGTCCCTGGCTACTCCCTATGACAGAAATTGAGACAATCAGTGCAACAGGTTTTTAATTATGGACTGTAGATCATTGTCGATGGTTGCTTTCTGCAAAACTGGCAAACTTAAGTGTTCATTCTCTAAGTATATGAAATGGAACACTCTGTCGTAGCCAGGGCCAGCATCCCTCTGTGCTAGGTGTTGTAGAAGCACAGGACCAACACCTCTCTTCTCCATGTCTAGGAGCTTAAGTTAATCTGAGACATATCACTGTCCTGTTAAGGCCATGCTGGCAGTGACATTGAACCCTACAGGTAAGAATACACCCCTTATGTCACTCCAGCAGCATCCACCCACTCATATCATCATGTATTTGGTTCTGAGTTTGACCTGACCAGGGCTGGCTCCGCACCTGAAGTAAGGCTTCTCCGTGTAACATCACCAAAGCATCTCCTCCCAGCACCATACTTGCAGCTGGCTGAATACTGGGGCCAAGTGACTTAGATGATTCAGCTAGAGCTTTCCTGCAAAACCCAGTAAAGACCAGTCCCAAAGAAGGCTAATTAGTGTTGGCCGAGTGAATGCTGGTGAAATCATTCAAGGGGGACACATGCTGTATGAGGATGGCCGAAGCTGTGATCTGCTGCTGGATTGAAAAAAATTAATAAATTTTATGCTATGCATTGTAAATACTCCTTACATGTTTTAATTTTTAATAAAAATGCTCCTTTGTAAGTTTCAGGAGCAATACAAGTTTAATGTGAGCTCAGAGAACCATGCAACACAAGGATAATTGACTTGCTGCCATCACTTGCTAGATATATTTTCTTTTCCTTTCTTATGTCTTCATGTTTCCTAAGTTCTTAATGGAAACAGAACATGCTTGAGAGCCAGAATTTGTCACAGAGCTTACTACCTAGTAGTCAATATTGAAATTGGATTTGAATTACTGTGTAAGTAATTACCAATAAGAAAACCAGAGTAAAAGGGCCTTGGAAAGACATAATGCACCTGCAGGTCATAGGCAATGGGAAGAAGAAATAATAGTGCTTACAGAGGTCAAAAGTTTAAATTTTCAATTATCATTGTATCAAGGAATAGAGGCTACTTTTTATGTGTATGGTTTCCTGTGTAAAATTTGAGTTTGTCTTACATGGATGTTTGGTATCTTTCCACTAACCAGTGTCACAACTGAAAAGCCAAACAGATGAACAATATTTACACTGAACCTTTGAACTGTTGGCCTGATATTATCACTCTTTTTAATCACAAAGTAGTTCAGTGTTTAACTAACTTTACTTTCATCTTCTCTGTCTCTGCTTGTACCGCATTACCCATCTGCAATAAACAATGAAGAAAGTTGTAACATCCTGAGTAGTGACTATAACCTGTCCTCCCCTTAATGATGGGTTTAAGCAGTTTGTCAAAACCCATCATCTGAAGAAGATTGAATTCAATGACTGCCAAATTGGACATACTCTGAGCTGAAATAAAAGCAGAGAGGTGTCTGTGCTTAGGGGCTTCCTAACAGAAGTCTTGGTGTTACTGTAAGGCATCTTTATGCATCATCTGTGGTGTTTTGTGGAAGCTGGAACTGTAAAAACAAATTGGAAGCAATATTTGCTCTATTCACAAGGCAAAACCTCATAACCTGGGAAAGAACTTCACTACTTAAAAAAACCCTCTGGAGCCCCCAGTTTTAGGGAGCAGGTTAGGGGAGATGAAGTCATCACATCCTCATCCAGAACTACTAACAGTGCTACGTATTACACACAAAAGCTCCTGACCAGACTGATGTTTCTGTTAAAAAGTTCACCAGTGTCAGCTGGGACGTAACCTGAAGCTCCCAGTTAGGTTTCAGAGTAGATAACATGCTAGGCAGAGCCAGAGCTCCTCCTCTAAGAACTTTTTGATTCTTTTTCTTACCCAATTTCTTACTGCAAAGAAAGCCAGAACAGATTTAATATTTTTTACATACTTTTGCAGAGAAAGATAGCTTCACAGCTGTTTCTTGATCCTACAAACAGGTCTGATTAAATGCAAACAAACAGTATAATTCAGTGACTTTTGGGTATTA